GGTGACAAAGGCAGGGGTCTTGTGGCTTGAGAACTTACTGCTCCTTCCTCTCAAATGGCCTTTTCCAGACTACAGTTTCATTTCTCTAGTAAGTATGGGGGATAGATATTTAACACTGGCTGGGGGCATTATTCGGGCAATGTTTTAACTGGAGTAACAGCTCTCTGTCAACAAAAATATGACTTAGAGACCAAAATTTGTCCCATATATCAGGATTCCAAAAGGTTAGTTCAATACTGCCTCTCCAGTCTCAATTAGACAGGTATTTATAACATAAATAAATGATTTCCTAAATCTGGAAGCTGAGGTTGCCTGGGAGCATATACATCATCTCCTAACAAGTGTGGCTCTATTGACCAGGTAGCTAAGCTTATACTTGGGAAAAGGCTTCTTGCACTCTCACAATGTAAAGGACCATGGTTGTCCATCTTGCCACAATCACTTTCCAGTTACCTCTACCTCCCGTGCTGAGTCACAATAATCCAGCATAAATTTCTGGACTAAATTTGGCAATGGATTTCTGGACGCTTTAATTGAAGCACCACAGGTCTGTGCTCATGTAATGACCATGTTTAAACTGCAGAGTATCCTTAGGATGAGATGGTCTTCTAAGTTCTTCTCATGAGTTTGTTATCAGTTAAAAACATCAAACCCAAACAGCTGCTCTTCCAGCTCCTGTCCTCCAATTAAAATATATGACTTTTAAGACCACATAGAAGGAAAACAGTTAAAAGAGATATGCTCCTTACCTGAATTTGCAATTAGTATTAAGTGCTGAGACAAATGACTTTAAAACTTTAAAGCTATTCAATTAAAACTAGACTGTGGAGCTCAAGCCTTACTTGTTGCCAACTTCACACGGAAGACTGAACCCGCCCTAAAGATATTTAGTAGCAAAGTGGAAAATGGCGAATTGGATTTGAAAAAGGCAAAATAATATTAGAATTGGAGCTGTTGGAGATGCATAAGGCAAACTGTGTTTTAATGCTCAGGAACTTGGCAAAGTCTTTTTATATGGATTTTAATATTGCAGATGTATACAGTGGACGCTCGGGTTGCAAACGTGATCCATGCGGGATGTTTCCTGCTTGGCAGGGGGTTGGACTTGATGGCCCTTGTGGTCTCTTCCAACTCTATGATTCTATGTACGTTTGCAACCCGCAGCGGCGCGTCTGCGCATCCGTGGGTTGTGATTCAGTGCTTCTGCGCATGCACAAAGCGTGATTTAGCGCTTCTGTGCATGAGCGACCCCCGAAACCCGGAAGTAACCCGTTCTGGTACTTCCGGGTTTCGGCGGGTCCGTAACCTGAAAAAACGCAACCTGAAGTGTCTGTAACCTGAGGTATGACTGCATTCTGTATTATTTTATTAATGCAATGCCTGATGCAAGTTTGACATGGCCTTTGGCTAGAATAATAAACTTATGAACTTGTTGGGTGATAATGGTGCAATTGCAGCAATCGCACCAGGGCCCATGCTAGCAAGGGCGGCCAGGCTGTGAGCTTTGCATTACAGAGGCTGGACTAGATGAACCGTCAGGATCCCTTCCAACTCTACATTTCTATGATAGAAGATGGTTATAATAGGCTTCTGAGAGCACACGCCAAATTGAGGAAGACTAAAAAGTGAAATGACATTAAATAGACATTTGGTACCTCTGTGGGAGGGGGTGAGATTTTTAAAAAACCCATAAAAAATCAACTGTATGAATCACTGTTTATATATATGCAAAATTAAAAAATATTGTTGTGTTTTTCTAAAATATAAGTTAATGCTACTTGTTAGCTGCCTTGGAAAGATGGCTGTGTATCCTGAAAGGTAAACTTGAGGAAGGAGTCGTGTTCCTCCGCTGCTCTCTGTAGCTCCTGGTTTACCCCACAATTCTTATGCACCATTTAATCGTTCCATTTTAACTGAGTTATTTTAATATATCAGAAGTGCAAAAGCCAGTAAGAATAAAGTAGGCCAACAGAACAAATGCTGGAAGTTTTAGTCTAAAATTTAGTCTAATGTTTCTTCATGTTTGGCAGCTGTGTATTAATCACCCCCACCAACCCCAAAAGTGTGCATTTTATCAAAGAAAAATGTTAATTAATGTTCTTTACCAGGACCATAATGTTACTGTTACTAAGTCATGAAATGCCTTTTCGGAAAATGTCCCCTCTCCTCTGCTGACACTGATGGAGGGGAAAAAATCAGCAATTCAGCAAGCCAATAAAAGGGGCCGATTTTAAGTGCTTTTTCTGCTCCATACTCTGTTACTTTCTGGTGACAACAACATTGCAGCCCATGGATTTTTCAAAGCAGCTCAGCCATTCATTTTCCACTTTCCTCTTTACGCCAGAGTGAAATTCAGGACATGGCATTAGCTTAAAAGAAATAAGCATCAACAGGATGAACTCTGCTCTGCTTTGCTTAGGTGAAACTCCCTTTGAATCCGATGGAAGTTTGATCCATGTAACTGAGAACGGGCTTTAATGCTCCAGGCACAGAACTGCTGCTATGCTACACAAATTCAGAGTGCAGCTGCATGCAAGGAATTAAGGATTTGCTGGCTTAACGATTAACTTCTTTATCCTTCTTAAAACTTATTATGACATCATCTTTTGAAACTCTCATTGATTAACTCACTGATTCCTTCAGTGCGAAGCACTTTGGCCAAAGCTTTTGTGGACCAATAAATTAAATGAATGGTTTACTGACCCACCTAATGGAAATAAAAAATTGAGCAAGCCAACTGTACAGAAGGTGTGTATCTGAAACTGGGATCAGGTGCACCTTATTCCAGTCAGAGGGAGAGAGCTGCAACAGCTAAATAGGCCTGTTGGAAATGAGCAGCTAATTAACGCCTGGCAAGACACAGGTGTAACTCTGGGGCAGTGGAAATGACACAGCAAAAGCAAACATTTGGTTAGTTCACTTTAGTGTAATGGCATGAAATGGGTCAATTGCCTCATGGAAAGCATATCTTAATTTGACTGGCAATGGGGGGGGGGGGGGAATAGCATGAGTTCATGAACCTGGGCACCAGAGCAGAAAACAACTAAAAATGAAGAGCTATAATTATAACACATTATATAGTAGCTGAGTGCACCAACCACAATATTTAGTTCAGACCCCAAATAGCACACCACAAAATGTGGCCTGAGGTGCCTCAAGAGCTGCCGGATTTGGCTCACTGTTAGTTTGCGCCTACTTGTTTCTTTCCCTTCACATTCCCTTTCCTTCACTATTGTGAGTAAAAAAAAACACCAGCTATCATTTTTGTTTTCTTTCAACAGAAGTAGAAGAAATTTGCAAACATACTAATCCGTCAAGAGTGGATAAAATCACAACCACATGGGTCCAGGGGGGCTCTGTGCTATGTAAATTTGATTTCTGTAAAATAAAAGATGGCATCTTTAGTTTTCTAAATCTGGGGCTGGGATTCCATGAAATGTGCGGGCACAGCTGTCTCTTCTGAAGGCATGGATCCTGCCAAGTTTCAGAAGGAAACTTGCAGAAGTTTTCCTGTAAGGGTCGCTGTTACAGGTTTTTTGATGTGTAAAAAAGGAATCACTTAATCTTTCCCTAGTGTTTTGTGGGTAACTGATCTGAAAACTACAGCCTTTCCCCTGGGTAAGAAACCTAACAAAATACAAACAAACAGGTTCATAGGCAATGCTTTTCTTCTAGTAAAAGGTGCCGGTGTTGTGTACCATTCACTACCCCCAGAAAAAGTACTGTTCATAAGCATTTGTACTAACTGCCATTATTAGTTATTCCTATTAGTCATTTACTTATGCAAATGACTCAAAGTAACTTACATATCATTAGAGTTGATTTTGGGGTGAGAAGAATTAAAACATAAAATCACTTCCTCTGATTATAAGTTAGATCTGTCGGGAAGGAAGGATGTCTCCCTCCTCATCCTGGTTTCTTCCTTAAACTTAGAAACATAAGTTTCACTGTTGTAAGGCTGCTCCTTCCCCCAAGGCACTGTGACTGGCAAGCACTGAAAACATCATTTTCTCTTATTACAAGCAAGACCTGTCAATAATGAAGGAGCTGCCCTTTTCCCCTCCTGGCATTGGCCTTTCCCTCAAACAGGAAATGTAAGATTTGATTTTGTCTAGCCGCTCCCTCTCTTCCCACCCCCTGGCATTTCCCTTATATGGCAAGCTGAAAGACATAGATTCGGTTTTAGGAGATGCTTGTCTGCAGCATTTTTCAAATGTCTGCATCATGGAGGAGACACAATGTGCTTCAGCAGTCCTTGCTTTGTTTCAGGCAATCCAAAAATCCCCTTGAGGTACCCAATATGCAAATCCTGAGTTTTGAGAGTAGTGAGGGAAGGGTCTGTGGTGTGCCTGCCTGCAAGTGGAGCACCATCACAGCATCCCCCACCCCAATAACTGGTAAACAATCCAATTTTATACGCCATTAGTGATGATATTACACTTCCCTGGTCTTAAATCTCACCTGAGAGGCGGGAGGAGATACATTTCTCCTGAGCTTATAAAATAAGAAAGAGGAGATAAATAACAACCAGCAGCAATTATTTTGTGCCCTCTTCTGTCATATTAAAAAATGTTGTTTCCATGCTGTTTAGAAATGTTCTTCAAACCACAATTCAAACAATCTCAAGTTATTTTCTGATGGAGGCTGCTGGAAGCCTGGGACTGAGGCCAATATCAGGTACCCAGTGGCGTAGCGTGGGGGGTGCAGGGGGGCCGGCCGCACCGGGCGCAACATCTGGGGTTAGGGTAAATCCACAGGTTAGGGGGCGCAAATCCACGGGTTAGGGGGCGCAAATCCACGGGTTAGGGGGCGCAACTTACTTGCCTTGCCCCGGGTGCTGACAACCCATGCTACGCCACTGCAGGTACCCATTTGTTCTTTTGCCTTGTTCATTCAAATTCAAGAGGTTCTTTGGCAGAGAGTGATTCAGGACAGTTATGAACAAGCAGAAACTGGTTCCAAGACCACGCAGAGAAAATGGTGCAACTCCCCCCCCTTACCTGTTGTTGCGCTGGATACTGTTGGCCACTGCTGCTCAGGTCCTCCAGGTCCCACACGTAAGCCTCCTGCTTCCTCCATGTGTACAGCACTAAACAAATGTACACAGTGATTAGATTATGCAGTTCTCATTAAAACAATATGGTTCCTTTTTAAAAGCAGCATTGCCCTTTCCGCTACACATTCCAAAATGCTGACTGTCACAATTGCTCATAATCAGCACCATCATAATCATCACCCACAGCAGCAGCAACAACCATTTATGCAAATTATTTCATTCTTACTTATGAAAGTATTAATATACCACCTTTTCCGCTACAGTGTGCTTCCTGCAAAAGGATCACTGAAACCATCTAATGTTTCAGGTTTTTCAAAATGTACAATAGTGGACCTTCATTGTATATTTGCATTCCACAGCTTAATATATCCCTGCTCTCATCCAAGTCAGACAAATGTTGCACAAATGTTGCCTTTACGGAATGGGTTGTTTCCATTAATGAGATGTGACATGTCTAACATAGCTGGGAAATTACTAAATCCCAATAGTGTTTATGCCTTACCATTGAAGTAAATAATGAAACACTGTCCTGTCAGTTCCAGGCATCCTTCAGCTTGCTACCATTAACCAAACTCTTACAGCAAGTATTCTGCTGTAATTTTCAATACCCAGCAGTGATGGCACCTTATGCCTTTGGCTTGGAGAAAGAGGGAACAGCAGGAAACATTCCACAGGATCTTTTTCTGACACATTATGTGGTGAACATTCTGACATGAGACCAGCACATTTAACAACCACACATTATTAAGGTGTAAACTCAAGTGATAATGACAAAGGGCATGTGGGTTTAAAGAAATAAATACATGTGCTTTGCTTGTCATATGGAGAAATTTGATCCAAAATTCTAAAGTCAACTACTAGATTCTATTGATGGCAAAAATGTTGTCAATTTCCAAGCCAACCTTGCTTCATTAGATATAACTCATTGGCTCAGTTATTTGCATTTGTTGGTGACCAGAAGAAGAAGAAGAAGAAGAAGAGTTTGGATTTGATATCCCGCCTTTCACTCCCTTTAAGGAGTCTCAAAGCGGCTAACATTCTCCTTTCCCTTCCTCCCCCACAACAAACACTCTGTGAGGTGAGTGGGGCTGAGAGACTTCAAAGAAGTGTGACTAGCCCAAGGTCACCCAGCAGCTGCATGTGGAGGAGCGGCGATGCAAACCCGGTTCACCAGATTACGAGTCTACTGCTCTTAACCACTACACCACACTGGCTCCAGTGAAGTCATACCATCTTGCAGAACCATATTATAAAATAGGCCTTTATCCCAAAGCAGGTGCCCAGTGCCATTTTGGAGTACCTGATGCTGCCATGCTGACTCTGATGATGTCCCCAGTTACTATTGCTAGGGTGCCACACAGAACAGAGAGCGGGATTCAGCTAATGAGTCCCTTCAGTGCAAGTTCACACAGCAAGTTTTTTCCCCCTCTGCTCCATTGACACTCTCCAAAATTGGCTTGGGGGCAGGGAAAACTCCCAGAATAGCCTGCAGGGGGGGGAAGGATAATTCTGTCTGGCAAGCTGCAGTGTGTAGGATGTGAAACACAAGAGCAGTCAAATACAACATTCCTAGAGTGAACATGTTTTCACATGGGGAGGAATGTTTGTCCAGCCAGCAGGTAAACTTCCTGTTTCCTTCTGGGCTGGAACAGACTTCCTCTGCATGTGACTAGAGGTGGGTGTGGCCTCACCTGTGCAGGTAATGACAAAAGCACAGGGCAGGGCAGCCATCTCTCTCTCTTTCACCACATGCATCGGAGAAACAACATCTACTGATGCCCTCTTGGCTTCCAGCCAAGAGAGGACAAAGGGACTGTCTTCTTATAAGATAGATTCCAAGTGTATGTTGCTTCATTAAGCTAAGTCTGCCTTCTGGGATCTGATTGTGAACAGAATGTGAGTAAACTCTTTTTATACTTTTGTAAAAGACTGTGTCGTCTCTTATATTTTATGAGGGAATAAGGGGAAAATACCAGAACAGTTATTATAGAGACTTTAGCGAGCCTAAGTTTAAAATAAGTTTAAAATAAGGGGAATGTTACTCTTCTGAAATTGTGGAACTTGTTAACACAAGTTGGATAAGGATATAATCAGACAATATATCCTCTCCTGCATCCCTGAACATTCCCACACAATGCTTGTGCTGATGGGACATTTGCCCCAGCACATTGTTGAATCCCACCCAGAGAGATGTGTTTCAATGTGGCAGACTGTCTGGAGTCATATTCTTGCTCAACCATGACACACATTCTGTGTAGCTTTGGACACCTAACCACAACTCATGGCTATTGGAAGATGAACTATATAACAGGTATAATGTGTATCACACAGGGAGCAGAAATGACTAATAAAATTGTAATGAAGATAGTAAATGAATCAAATGATTTGTAGAGATAAGGCTTGTATCCAGTGAAGTCATACCATCTTGCAGAACACAACTTTCTCTCTTCCTCCCCACTGCCATGCACACTCCTGGAGCAGATTTGGGGGGTGCAGGGGTCACAGGGAGAGGAGAGGGAAGGGAAATCTATTATGCAAGTGGAATGCCTTGTGCTAACAAAATGACTTCATTGGGTACAACCAACACTAGGTTTGAATGTTGTGCACTGCCCTGGGAAAGAGGAGATTGAGAGGAGATATGATAGTCATCTTCAAATAGCTTAAAGGGCTGTCATATAGAAGATGAAGCAAACTTGTTTTCTTCTGCTCCGGAGGGTAAGACCAGAACCAATGGCTTCAAGTTACAAGAAAGGAGATTCCGACTAAACATCAGGAAGAACTTTCTGACAGTAAGAGCCGTTTGACAGTGGAATGGTCTCCTTTGGGAGGTGGTGGACTCTCCTTACTTAGGAGGTTTTTAAGCAGAGGCTGGATGGCCATCCACCATGGATGCTTTATCAGAGTTCCCTGCATTGCAGGGGGGTTGGACTAGATGACCCTTGGGGTCCCTTCCAACTCTACAACTCTATGATTCTATGCTCAAATTGTATATCTGTGTAATTAAAACCACATATCCTAAAGACACCCCAGCCTCCTTCATTCCACAGAATCTGAACCCAGGGTAAGCACTGGCACCCTTTGGGTCTCTCGCCATTCAGGGATCAGGGTGTGAACAATAATGCTATATGTTATAAACAGTTATTAAAACAAGTCTGGAAAATATCTGAAAGTTGCATGTCCAAAGATCAAAACTTGGGTGCTTACCTTACAGCTGCTTATCATAGAATCATAGAGTTGGAAGAGACCACAAGGGCCATCGAGTCCAACCCCCTGCCAAGCAGGAAACACCATCAGAGCACTCCTGACATATGGTTGTCAAGCCTCTGCTTAAAGACCTCCAAAGAAGGAGACTCCACCACACTCCTTGGCAGCAAATTCCACTGTCGAACAGCTCTGTCAGGAAGTTCTTCCTAATGTTTAGGTGGAATCTTCTTTCTTATGCGCTCACTCCACCAGGAACTTCTCCTACGCCACAAGGGCAGAGTCATGCTATTATTATTATTTCACATTGTCTTAAGGGACACGGGTGGTGCTGTGGGTTAAACCACAGAGCCTAGGACTTGCCGATCAGAAGGTCGGCGGTTCAAATCCCCACGACGGGGTGAGCTCCATTGCTCAGTCCCAGCTCCTGCCAACCTAGCAGTTCGAAAGCACCTCAAAGTGCAAGTAGATAAATAGGTACCGCTGAAGCGGGAAGGTAAACGGTGTTTCTGTGTGGTGCTCTGGTTAGCCAGAAGTGGCTTAGTCATGCTGGAAACATGCCCCAGAAGCTGTACGCCGGCTCCCTCGGCCAATAAAGCAAGATGAGCACTGCAACCCCAGAATCGGTCATGACTGGACCTAATGGTCAGGGGTCCCTTTACCTTTACCACATTGTCTTGCCCAGGGCAACCCAAAACAACTTCCAACCAACCAGCCTACCAGACAGACAGACATCTTCCTGGTGGATCAAGGGCAATGCAACTTAAAGCAAGCAGATTGCAAATGAACAGTTTCCCTCACAGAAAAGAAGGGTACATGCGATACATACCCTTGCATTCCAGCTCTTAAAGATGCAGAATAACGCCAGTCAGGATTGGGTGGTTTTGGCTGCAAAACAAAGTAGGGAAAGAAATCAATATTAATTTATGCTTAAACATGTTTAAAAAGTGATGCATTCTAATCTCGGATCACCTCCAGATTTCTTCAGCTTTTTAAAAAATCTGCCAAATGATCACAAAAATATACTCCCTCAAAGGCAGTAGGGTTTGCCAACCCCTCACCCAATACATTCCAAATCTAGGGTTGCCAAATCTTGAAGAGCAAAAAAGAGGACAGGTGAAAAATGCTTGAGACAACAGAGCATGGGGAAGTAAGAAGAAAGAAGACAGATTCAACTCCACTTGCCCATGTGTGCCTTTTTAAAGAAAAAACAGAACCACTTCACTCTGCTTATATATGAATGGGTTAGTCACGTGAAGAATTTGTGTGTTTGACCAAGTTTTCTACCAGCCTGTTGACTGCCATAAAGTGACTTTCCACCTTGAAAACTAGACTTGACTACAATTCCTATCATTCCTGGCCGAGGGCCATGCTGGTTGTGGTGGATGGGAACTGGAGTCCAACAACATCTGGGGGGGGGCACAGGCTGCCCTCCCCCCGTTATGATGACAGCACCTACACTCTGGAACTCCCTGCCCATTGACATTAGGCAGGCATGTTGGCTATATTGTTTTCAGTGACTGCTAAAAACCATTTTTTGTTTAGGCAAGCCTGCCCAGATATGAAAGATTGGTGTGCATTTTAATAGGTACTTTTCATTCAGAAAGAGCATATTTTTAACTACTGATTGTATGTACACTTGGATATTTTTTATGTTTTAAAACTTAAAAAATAATAATCCTGACTTTCCTTGATAATTTTAATGTTTTAATGTATAGTTTATGTTCTGTGTAAACCACCTAGAGGTTTCCACAATTGAGCTCTGCACAGATGTTAGAAATAAATAATGCAGAGCAGTAAAAATCTGATGGCAAACAAATTTGATATTAGTATTTTAAAAATGGAATACAACCCCACACCAGCAAGGGAAGGTTTAACAGTTGCAAAGTGCATATGCAATGTGAACAATTAACAGCATGCAAAACTCAAAAGCACGATAGAGGAAGGTGAGAAACGATGTGTTATGAAGCAGAATATTAAGGATATACTTAGGATATACTTCTTAGTTAATATTGCCATGGCTGAATGTTAAGGATTACCACAGAATGCATGGAAAAGGCAGGTTGATTTTTTAAATAACACTTTGTTTGTTTATCCAGTGAAAGAGAAAATGATTCTCTTCTACTGGAAGGTGCCTCTCTGAGTTCCATTAAGTGCAGCCTCCTGTGAAGAGTGGATTTCAGCCACTCTGCTTGTGACGGAGTTTCTGCTGGGGTTTATGGACTGCAGAGAATTACACTAGATTATATCAGGCTTGCCGACTGCAGCAGATTTTCATCAAAAGCAGACATGTTTTGTCACAACAGCAGGAGCTAATGCCTCAAGAAAAGGGATCTAAAAATGGGAGAAGGAAATAAGAAACGAGACCCTATTCTATAGCTCAAATCTCAGCCCTGACCAGCAATCATGGACATAATAATAATAACTGTATCAACCTATTGGTCTACAAATATCTCCTTTTTCATATTCTCAAATAACTGTTGTTAGATTCACAGCTAATGGACTCTAGCCCACAAAAGTTTACACCCAATAAATCTGAATCTTTTAGATGTCACATATTCATTGTTTTTCCTATTAAATAATGCCTCTCTGTAAACTGAAACTACAAAATCTTAAATTACTTTTCTTTGTTACACTGCTTACAAGAGAAATATTTGTCATACTTTACCATCAAATATTGTCATTAAGTATGATACTACCAGGGAACCTCAATGGGTGCCTTGTGGCTAATGTGTTTTATGTCTCCTGCTTGCACCAGGTCCTCCCCCCAAAGACCTCTTTCCATATGAACCTACCTGGACCCTGAGATCATCCTCTGAGGCCCTTCTTCGTGTGCCTCCTCCACAAGAGGTCCGGAGGGTGGCAACACGAGAACAGGGCCTTTTCTGCAGTGGCTCCCCATCTATGGAATGCTCTCCCCAGGGAAGTTCCTCTTTAGCCAGGCATTGGTTGATTAACATCGTATACCCCTTTTAAATGTGTGTGTTTGGGGAGGGGGGATTCTTGGATAGTGACTTTTTATGTTCTTGTTTTTAATACGTATTTTGTGTTTTTGCATTATATTTTAATATTATGAACCACTCTGAGATCTACGGATGAAGGATGGTTTACAAATTTAATAAAAAATAACAACAACTACAACTGCTTCCCCCGCCCCCAAAAAACACTTTAGGAATTTGCCTCTCCACTGGATGTTTGCTACTAGGATGAAACTGTGGGTTTCATGGGGAGAAAAGCAAGCTGTGCTGAATCCCAGGATGAAAGAGACAATTGAATGTTAGCCCATTTTTCCTGAGTAAGCTGAGAGGGATCTGACTGAGAAGTGCAGGGTGCATCGTTTTGGGATCCCACGTTTTAGCATTTTCTTGAACACCCCAAAATTCACTACCATCTGGGGGCTGTAAGTAAGGATGGTGGTAGCAGCTACCAGATAGTTAAGATGCAGCTTGCCTACACTGCAAGGCAGTTGTGCAATAGAAGAGTGCAAACAGGTTCTCCTAGCACCCCCACCCCTGCCCTTGGATACATGAGGCAGTTTCCAATTTTCTAGGAAGGCAAGATCTTCATCGGCTGCATTGCCACTTCCTTTGTGGCAGTCATGATCATTTCCTTTCTTATAGAAGCACGGATGGACCACATCTCTCCAAGCACCTTGGGAACAATTTAAATTCAGCAGTAGAACACATGCTTTGCCTGCAAAAGGTCCCAGTTTTAATCCCTGGCATTTCCAGGTAGGGCCAGATAAGACTCCTGTCCAAATCCCTGGAGAGTCATTGCTGGCTTCCTATGTTCTTATGACCTACCTTGTCCACGTTCTCAGTCTGCAATAAGTGAAATCCATCCAAACCAACCTGACTAGTTGAGGCCCTGGCTACAACCTGTGTATTGGCCAATAAAGCTGAGCCAAGCTTAACATCAGAGATTAGGACTGGAGGTCTATCCAGGAGTCAAAGAAGGAAGCAAAGAACCAGGAAATGCTATCACTGCCCAAAGCAAAGTCCCAATCTGTACATGAAGACTTTGGAGCCCTTCCTATTGAGGATAGCCAATGGGTGGGTGGACTCACTCTAGCGCCTGGGAACATTTTGTTATTAGGGCAAAAGTGGCTAAACTGTGGCTGTGTAGATGTCATTGGAATACAACGCCCATCAGTTTCAGCCAGTATGGCCGATGATCATGGAAGATGGGAGCTGTAGTTCAACAGCTGGAGGACCATAGTTAAGCCATCCTTGATCTGTATGCTCTGTAGGCTCACAGCATTGGGAGTTGTGCACAGAACCATGGTGGCCTAGTTCTGGCCCAACAGCTCTTCATACAGCCACAAAGTGAGTGTTATGGTAAGTATGGTAAGTTCTTCCACTTGTATTCAAGCCATCATATGAGCTGTTTCTTTAAGCCAAGGATGTCCAAAGTCCAATTCGGGGGCCTAATCCGCCGGTTGGTTTAATCCGGCCCCTGTGGCAGTTTTTTTCCTGGGGTGAAATCCTAAGAAAACCTCAACAACTTCAACCCTTAAAAAAGTTAACAACTTTGGCTGGCCCTTTGGTCGGCCCTCACGGCCCTTCACTTCATCAAATCTGGCCCTCTTTGAAAAAAGTTTGGACACCACTGCATTAAGCCCACCTCCCTCTCTACATACACATACACAAAACAGTGAAGACAAAAGATAGCAGTAACCCTATGATGTCTCAGCCAACTGGATGACCCTCGTGGTCTCTTCCAACTCTACAATTTTATGATTCTATGAATGTCAAGGAGAGAGTGTGGCCGTCATTAGTGGCAATGCTCTCCCTTTCTTGCTATCCTAATTCTTAACATAATGAGAGAGAATTGCTTTCTATAGCTGGACATTAAGCCTAAACTAAGGAGAGTCAAAGTTGTTTACAAATTGTGCAACTCATCTGTTTTACACTGGAAGCCTTCCTTTGAAGTATTTTTTGTTGAAGCTGGTGCCTCTGACTTGAGGTCAGCTGCAGATTACCCTAGGAGAATGAAAATGTTCTCCCTCTAGTTTCTTGGTGTTCAATTTTTAATGTCAGGATTGAGTCTACATAGAGACATTTTTCTACATAGAGACAGATTTATTTGTCTAATGCAGACAGCAGAAGGCCTTTTTTGGCAGGCGACTGCATGTGTCACATTGGAGTATATGCAGGTGAATGAACTCCAATGGCAGGATTCTGATCTGTAGTGGTGATGTTATTAGGTCCTGCAATGGTGCATGTCTGCTAGCTGAGGATAACAGCAATGCAAGTGACCTCTTTGAGGACTCCACGGTTTATGTCCTCAGAGCACCCAAAAACCCCCTCATTGACTAATGTGCCCATGTCTGAGGTCAAAAGTCCATGCTTTAAACCGTTGGCTTGATGCCATAATGGATAACATTCATTACAGCAAAGCAACAAGTACACAAATAACACAAGATAATAAGAGTGCTGTTGTAGTGGAATTGTTGGAAACAGCCCAGAAATAAATGCCCAGTCCTGCTTTTTCGTATTAAATGCATTGAACGCAGTAAATTATTTAAAGATAGCTCGGCATTTCGTCTTGAGTTTCTTACAGAATGTCCTCTTGGATCAATATGCTTTATACAAAGAAGCTTCACCTGTCACTTTCTTTCTTTAAATTAAGAGCCCACAATAAACTTCAGTTTCCATACCCGTGTGATAATTTAAGTGCTGCCATTTTGCAAACATGCATAAGGCAAGATACTAAGCATTTGTGATTTGCCATGAGGCATGCAAGAGGAAGAGTTTTTGGGTGGGGGGGCGATGTTTGAGACGCTGACGTCCTCAACTGTTCTAGATGTATGGAGAAAACTTTGGAGTTCTCCATTTTACAACTAATGGATACAAGCTGGTGAAAGCAAGTGCAGTAATGATTAATAA